AGTATAGACATGATATCACATGAACTGAATTCTAAAAACAAAAGAAAAAGTTGTTTTCTGTGATGATCAGTTAGTTCATTTAAGTGAATATGTCAGGAAAGCATTCATTATGCTCTTCCAGGATCTCCAGCATATTTTTCCTGTACTTATTGTTGCTTATGTGCAGGTTAGTTGTATTCTGTCTGGGACAAAATAATCATACCTATCGAAATTGAAAAATGGTGTCCGTATAGTTTTTTCCTTCTAACACTTGAATTATTATATGAAATAAAAAACAGGTTCACTTCATACCAGTCTCTTACTAGGTTGGGTTTAGAATCTTACTGCAGTGCTTGTATCAAATAAGTTGCATAGGAATTTAATAAGTAGAATAATATTGCGAATGTTCATTTTTAAAGCAAGAATTCCCCGATTCTAAAAAGACATTTTTGTATGTCTTTTGACAGACCTTTAAATACATGTTTTTCTTCATCTAATATTATCTTATAGGGGTTGTAACAATAGCACAGAAGGTAAGGCATTTGCCTTGCACATGGTCAACCCGGGTTCGATTTCTCTGTCCCTCTTGGAGAGCCCGGCAAGCTACCAAGAGTATTCTGCCCACCCAGCAGAGCCTAGCAAGATTCCCGTGGTGTGTTTGATATGCCAAGAACAGTAACAACAAGTCTCACAGTGGAGATGTTACTAGTGCCCACTCGAGCAAATTGATGAACAACTGGAGGACAGTACAGTGTTTTATGTTACTAGCACTTTGATCTTTGCTATTTGCAGATAACAAACTTTCTAAAATTCATTGGAAATACAAAGTCATAACTAAGTTTTCTTAATTATTCACATATATGCACAGAGTAGCAGAATGTTGTAGTTCACTTTCTCAGATATAAAGTGTTCAGCTTTCATATTATCAAATGTTTTCCTTAATACTTTTTTTAATGTAGGAGTACTGCTATTTATTCAGCCACTGATTAGCTGATTGAATTGTGCATGAACTCCACCTTACTTTTTTTTTTCATTTTTTATATTTTTATTTATTGGATCACCGTGAGAGCAGTTACAAAGCTTTTGGGTCTAAGTCTTGATCATACAATGAAACACCCATACCTTCATCAGTGACCATTCTCCACCCCCAACAACCCCAGTATACCCCCATCCCACACCCTCCCCTTACCTGTGGGGCAGATGATTTCCACATTACTCTCTCTACTTTGATCACATTCAATATTTTGACACCAGACCCACCATTATTATTTGAGATTTTACCCCAACACTGAGACCTGCTGAAAAGGCAACAGTAGACAATTTGTTTTCTATTGCTGGTTATGAATAACATATGATGTCGCGTGGCTGCAGCAGTGGCCGCACAATTTTGAAATTTCGAAATTTTAACACTTAAATCTGGAGAGATTTCTGCCCAAACCTGCTGGGTTCCGAGATTTGCTCCTAAGTCTCTGGGATTATGGCCGTTAAGCACTTGATCAGGAGCCAGAAAGGCCGTTCGTGGGCAATGACTTGGGGTCTCGTTGGGGTGGGGAGGACAGGACCGGCTCCATCCCCAATCTGTGAGGCCCAAAATGTCTCGTCACTGCGGGCCCAAACCTGACTGTCCAATGGCCTCTGGAGGATGACGGCCACCAAACTGCCAGGGGGAAGCAGGTGGAGGGACGACACCCTTTCCCCCCTGGGGTGGCCTGGCGACAGTAACCTACTGCGGGGTCCAGACGCATTTCTGCCAAAAGCCGCTGGGTTTTGAGACTGGTTTCTGAGTCGCTGGGATCATGGCCATTAAGCAGCTTGATCAGGAGCCAGAGAGGCCATTCGTGGGCGATGACTTGGGGTCTCGCTGGGACGGGGAGGATAGAACCGGCTCCACCCACATCCCGTGAGGCCCAACAAGTTCTGTCACTGCGGGCCCAAGCCTGACTGTCCAATGACTTCTGTAGGATGACAGCCACCAAGCCACTAAGGGGGAGCATGCAGAGTGACAACATCCTTTCCCCCCTGGGGTGGCCCGGCGACAGTAACCTACTGTGGGATCTGGACACATTTCTGCCAAAAGCCACTGGGTTTCAAGATTTGTTTCTGAGTCTCTGGAACATGGCCGTTAAGCAGCTTGAACAGGAACCAGAGAGGCCATTCGTGGGTGATGACTTGGGGTCTCGTTGGGGTGGGGAGTACAGGATTGGCTTCACTCCCATCCCGTGAGGCCCTGCGTCTCGTCACTGTGGGCCCAAACCTGACTGTCCAGTAGCCTCTGGAGGATGGTGGCCACCAGGCCGCCAGGGGAAACAGGCCAAGGTACGAAACCTATTCCCACCTGGGTTGGCCCAGCACCAGTAACCTACTGCAGGAACAGGATACGTTTCTGCCAAAAGCTTTTGGGTTCTGAGATTCGTTTCTGAGTCTCTGGGATCATGGCCATTAAGCAGTTCAATCAGGAACCAGAGAGGCCATGCCTCCGATTATCATAGCTGAGCCAAAGGTGGTTTGTGGGTGTGTTTCCCACATACCTAACTTTTGGCCTTTTACTTTCTTGGAAAACTTTGCTCCAAGTTTTTGGGGTCTGGCCAAAGGCACAGCAGCAATTTTGGGGTATCTGGAAGTCTGAAGGCGCCATTGGCTGCTGATGCACTCACCTCACAGGTACAGGTTGACCTGCTGGCAGCACCATACCCCCATCCTTAATAATTTTTGATATTATATTTTTGTTTGTGAAGTTTGATAACGGCTATCTTTAAAATGATGCAAAAGTGTAGAGTGGGAATTCAGTCTATAATTTTATGTTTATGAAGACTGTAATGTGCTTTACTTAGAAAGTACATTGTTAGGTCCCAGAGAAATAGTATAGCTAGTAGAGTGTTTGTTTCGCATGCAACTGACCCAGATTTAATTTCCATCACCTTATATGTTCCCCAAAGCCCAGAAAAAAGATTTATGAATACAGAGCCAGAAATAACTCTGAAAACTGCCAGATATGACCAAAAAACAAAATAAAACCAAACAACAGCAAAGAAAGTGCATTGTTGAATAAACTTTGTTCAGGTATTAACTATACTTTTTGATCATGAGTTCAGTATGGAACAAAATACTAAATGTTGAATATTCTATTCTCATGAATAAATATTTATGAAACAAGGTTATATATCAATTAGTTGATGACTAATTGCTTCCTAGGAACCTAATGCTATATTTCTCTTTAGGAAATATATTTCTTGTGTATTTGCTAATTCACTGTTTATGTTTACTTTGTAAAATGTAATCTTAGTAAATAATAAAAATTCACTCTTGATAATGAAAGGTTAGTGCCAATGAAATGTAGAAATGAGGAAATCAGATTGAATTGCAGGTTTTTAAGATGCATTATGTACCTCCAATGCATTTTGGTATCAAAAGACTAAATGATTGGAAATCTCAGAGCCAGCTTTCTCAAGCAAGTTTTAATGAAGTTTTTGAAATAGTATATATCAATTTTATTCCACTTCCTCTACTTTTTGCCATAACAGTTTCAAAAACAGTGGAACCATGTTTGGGTTGAAAAGTTATCTTTTGGTCCTAACACCGCTATAAAAATCTGTCTGCTTTCAAGACAAATGACTCATCTTGTAGTTTATTTTGTCAACAGAATTTTCTGAGGTTGAATTGAGGGACGATTATAAATATAGTCACATTTATCACCTGTTTTTCAGCTATCATTGTAAATCAAGGATTGAAATTTATAGTCAGAAAATTTTGTATAATATGATATATTTTATATGTATTAATATGTCAAAATAGACACAATAAAAATAGCATTCCTTCAAAAATACTATAGTGAAGGCAGTCATAGATGATAACTATTCCAAAAGAGAAAGAAGATTAAAGCTAAATTGTATAATACAATGTTATTTATTTTTCCACAAGGATTGGCTTTTCAAGAGAAGGAGAGAAAACTAGTTATTACATTACCAAACATGTGATCAATCATGTATAATTGAAGCTATTATTGCTGCAAGAAAAATTAGCAAGTTAACGTGTAAACAATGTTGATGTTATTATACTATTTTTGTTATATATAAAACTACTAACAACAGAGAAAGGATATTTTAATTGCATGCTAAATTTAAAAAATGATGTCTTTGGTAAACCCTAGAAGAATTGTACAACTAATATAACTAGAGCATAGTTTAAGTCACTAGATTCCCATGACTTTGAAAAAATATTTACTGAAGTATACCCAGATTATTTTTCCCTAATCCATTATTCCTTATTTTCTCTGTTTTAATTGTTTCATAATGTCTAATTAACAAAACAAAAATATTGGATTATATTTGATCCTGCTGTTCATTGTTTGGGAACTTTTTTCAGGCCCTACTTGACAGTGCTCAGGGCTTATTCCTGGCAGTGTGTTTAGGGATCACTGCTGGAAGGATTTGAAAGATTCCAGAGAATCAAATAAATGAGAGGGATTAATTTTAAGTGAGAGGATCTATGTTTCTATGCAAATACTATAAAGAAAAACACAAGAACTATCCACTTGTGTTAGAGTAACAAGGGAGGAAAGCAGAAGTAAACTCAGAATATTTAAATGGAATTCCTATAAGGTTATTGACGTGTAGACTAGGTAAATAGATGATGAGTGGATCATAAGTGAATGTTCCAAATGTTAAAAGCCTATAGAAAGAAATACCAAGATCCTGAATATCATTGTAGTTTGCCATTTTTCTCCTTAAGCAATGAGGCAAGCTGAAAAAGAAAGCAATCTGATTTCAATTATATTAGTATAAAGTGGATTGAATATGTGTTGACATCCATGAATGGTAGAAGGAAGAATTAGGGCACTATAGCAATAAGCATCAAAGAAGGTGATATACTTGAACTTGAACACTTACATTTAAATGTATTTCTAAACCTACTTCCTAGATTTCCTTAGTGTTTGAAGTACATATATACACTTCTGAGTAAAATCCTTTATTCTGGTTTGGGATCAATAACTCTTAATTCTTTTTTTTTTTTTTTGCTTTCAGATTTTTCATTACTCATATACTGCTTCCTATGTGATTTACAACATACATACTGGGTAAGTTGTTGATTTTCTTGTTTTCATGAGCAATTTGCCATCTATAATGTTGCTTACTTTTTTCGATTTTTTTAATGTAACAATATTTACATCTACTTCAAGGGAAGTTTGGGAGCTTAATCCTCCAGAAGTTGAGGACTCCATCTTGCAGTACGCAGCTTGGGGAGTACAAGGACAGCAGCTGGTAAGCACTGATTTTTTTTTTTAGACATATACCTCTGGAGAATTTCCAGAAAGGAATGCTTTGCTAACAAAATAGTCATCTGTCTATGGACATTGAGTTCGAGTCCATGTTTTGACTATTTAAATATCTTTCTATGGGTTGCTACTACAAGGGTGTGACTATCCTTTCATATTAATGTTCTTGCATCGTTGATCTATGCCTAATTGTTTTGGTATTCCTGGATCACATGATATTTTCTTCTTTGATTTTCAAAGGATAATTCATATTTTTTTAATGTAATAGTACTGCTATTTATTCAGCCATTGATTAAGCTGATTGAACGTGGCATGAACGCCACATTACTTTTTTTACAATTCAGAATGTTAATTTTATTTTAGTATTTTTATTATTATTTTTAAATCACTGTGAGATAGAAAGTTTTCCTGTTTGAGTTTAAGCTATGCAATGATTGGTCACCCAAGCCTCCACCAGTGCACATCTTCTTCCACCAAGGTCTCCAGTAACCCTACATCCTACCCCTCCCCTGCCTGTATGGCAGAAAATCTCCCCCATATTCTCTTTTGTATTGCTAGTTATGAATAACATAAGATGCCTCACGGCCAGGAGAGCAGCTGTGTGCTTCTGAAATCCTAGAATTTTAGATAACTAGGGTTTGGAGAAATCTCTGCAGCAAGCTGCTTGGTTGGGAAATTCTTTTATGTGTCTCTTGATCATGGCCATTAAGGAGCTTACGTAGCAGCCAGAGGCAGTTTGTGGATGTGACCTCCAGGTGCCCATGGACCAGGGGAGGAGTGTGTGTGTTTGGTGGGGGGTGAGAAGTTCTGGTCCATTCCTTTTCCCTTGAGGCCTGGAGTTTGCCATCACTGAACCCATATACCTGCACTTCTCATTGGGTTCTGGGAGTTGGCAGCCGTCAGGGTTCTTAGGGGCCAGGTGGATGGATAACACCTGTACCTGTCTGAGGCACCCCCATGAAGTTTGCCTGGCTTAAAGTCCAGAGGCATCTCTACAGCAATCATATGGTTTCCTAATAAAGATTGAAGCAACTTATATTCCCACCACAAACGATAGTTCTTTTTTTTATCTACATCCTTGCCAGCATTTATTGTATCATGTGTGTGTGTGTGTGTGTGTGTGTGTGTATAGAGGGAATGTGAATAAATAAATGCTTATATATACACATATAGAGACACACATGCTATAAATTATAATATAGATGCTATTCATATATGTATGCTATATAAATAAAATGCTATACATATATTCTATACAAATATATATGCTATACATATACAAATATATATGCTACTCTCAAGGTTATAATGTAATATCTCATTAAGATTTTGATTTGGATGTCCATAATAACAGTAATATCAAATAATACTAAAATTTTATGAAAATTATAGCTTCCTTTCTTTTGAAAGGTAAATTTCACGTTAATCATCATTATCCTTTGTGTGTTTATAAACATAATTCAGGAAAATTAAAGGATGGAATGTATCCCCACAAATGAATAATGGTCTATTACACATGATTGTGACAGGCTTTGCCAATATTTGAAGTCATCAGCAAAGCAGACATATAATTTTATCAAAGGTGAACCATTATTTTATTTGTTTTTACATTAAAAAGATTAGTTTTACATTAAAATAATGAGAGTTCTCCATTATTTGTATACCAAGGAAAATTAATTTCTCATCTTTAATTTTTAGCTTCTAATTTTATTTGCTATAAAATGACTTGTTGATGGAGAGAAGTGATTGGCATAAACATGAGGTTCTGAGACAGAGCTCAATAATTGGAGAATTTTTTTCTGTTTCAAAATAGCAGTAGTTACGGGGAAGGGAACTAAAGGGAAAAAAAGTTGAACACTGTAAAGCATGAATTATTTAATGAAGGTTTTGAGCAGAGGAAATTGCGCTATACCCAGTGATAATCAAGGTTTATTCTTGGTTCTGCTGTCATGGATTATTCCTAGCAGAGCTGTGAGGAGGGCACATATAAGGTGTGGGTAGTGGATCGTGTAAGGTAAGTGCTTTCCCCACAGTACTCGCTCACTTACCCTGCAAAACTATTTGTCTTAGTTGATATTTTTTAAACTTTAAGCTAGTTACTAATAATTTAACAACCATATTTCCTCCCTTTTTCTGCTTGCTGCCTAAGACAATTAGCAATTTCCATGGTGCTTCTCTCTCTACAATGTTATTATTATTATTATTAGGCTGGAGCGATAGCACAGCGGGTAGGGCATTTGCCTTGCGTGCAGCCGGCCTGGCCAAGCCAGGTTCAATTCCTCCACCCATCTCGGAGAGCCCTGCAAGCTACCAAGAGTATCTCGCCGGCATGACAAAGCCTGGCAAGCTACTCGTGAAGTATTCAATATGCCAAATACAGTAACAGCAAGTCTCACGATGGAGACGTTACTGGTCCCGTTCGAGCAAATTGATGAATAAGGGAGGACTGTGACCATTATTATTATTATTATTATTATTATTATTATTATTAAATCACAGTGGTTTACAACATTAGAAAGTGATTTGTGGTTTTGTTTACGGTACACAATATTTCTACAATAATTGCTTCACCAGTGTCCACTTTCCTCCAACAGTGTCCTCAGTTTCCCTCCAGTACCCCAGCCTGCTTCTATAGCAGGAATATTTTCCCTTCACCATCGTCCTAGTTGCATATTTAATGACCCATTTCTGATTAAGGGCCATAGAAGTTCCAGGATTATAGACAATTTCATCTCATATTGAAATTGTGATGACCTAATTTATTAAGCACTGTTTAGGTCCTACTAAACGGACCATTTGAATGCAGTGATGATGACAATCAATTAGATTTCTGTATATTAGTCTCCTTCGGGGTTTTTTATTTGTCTCTGTTTTTTTACTTATATTTTTTTCTTACTTTATTATATGTTTTTTTTTCCATCAGTGATGTCAAGCCATATTACATCAGCAGTCTAAATAAAAAATTAAATAATAAGCTAATAGCAGTGTTTACTCTAAGGTATGAAACAGTCTACAACACTTCCAAGGTAAAAATCTCTTGATTTGGATAAATGGGTTCACTGTGGTTTGTTGCTGTTTTATTAAATGGCAGGAAGAGAACCCCTGAACGGAACTGTTGTCTGTATTAAAGTGGAGATCCCTAATCTTAGAAATCACTCCAGACACCCTTTAGGTAGTACATAACACTAGAGCTGTTTCCTAGCTAACCTCCTTGCAATGAACAAAAAAATGCAAATTAATCTTTTGTAATACTGTTAATCAACTGTAGGCAAGATGCTAATCTTTAAGGGATTTGAAGCAAAAACTCTCCAGGGCCAGGAATACATTGCAAGAAAATACACATTTTAGAGGCTATGCGGAAATATAGAAAAATAGATTAATTGTTAATTTTAGCTCACAATTTTAATATCCCTTTTAAAGTAAAATAAAAACAGGTAGAAAGTCAGTAAGGCTATAAAGATTTGATCAACATCATCAGGCACCTTATATAATGGACATTTATAGAGCTAGATAGCTAATAATTACATAATACCTGTCATTTTTAAGTGCATACTTGGGTCATAAAACAAGACTCAGTAAATATAAAGAAATGTGATAATAGAGAGTATGTTTTTATGCCATCATACGGAGTATGTTTTCAAGCCACATACAAATTAAATTTGAAATCAAACGTAAATGTATCATACACACAGTTATACTTTAGTTTGGCCTAGAATATCCAATAAGAAATGTATTATTGCATGTTATATAATTCTAGATATTGACTTTATATTATAAATTGCAAATATCATTAAAGAAATGTAAAAAAGAAAGAAAGATTATTGAAAAACTATGTATAATTTTAAAACTAAAGCAAAAAAATGAAACAACTTAATCATTGTGAGCTGACAAAAATATGATATTAAACATGTAAAATTAATATTTTTCTTCTCAATATACAGATAATGGTTTTCAGTGAATAAAATTTTATAAAATTAATATGAACTCACAGGTACCTGTAACTAGAACTGTAGGACTGTTCCTCCTTTTGTTCATCAATTTATTCGAGCAGGCACCAGTAACGTCTCCATTGTTAAGAATGGATAGAATCAAAAAGAAGGCAGAACCCTGGGTGACCTGGCTCCCAAAAAATGAGGGAAAAACCCTCAGAAAGTCCAAAATAAGAAATAGCTAGTAATATGTTTGAATCAGCCAACTTCTTAATGAATCTTAAAAATAGTTAAAATTTCAGACATTTTTGCAGTTGTTATTCCATGGGTTTTTTTTTTTGAGTCAGAATAGTACAAAAGTCAAGAAAAAGAGAGGACATATCATCATAGAAACATATGCCATATCTTCATCTTTTTATTTTACCAGCTGGCTCCCAATTATTTTGTGTGTACACCGATATAAATACCAAAAACAGCAAATGAAAAAACAAATGGACTTTTAGATTCATAGCACAAAATCAAGAGGCAACTACAAGGGATTCAGAATGGAAGGGAAATTTTAGAATAGTTAACGAAACTCATGTCAGTCTATAGTATTGAACCTTAAAAAAAAAATAGTGACACGGTTAAAAATTAAAACCTTAGAGAACAATGAGAAGTTTAACATATAACAACTGGAGTTTACAAAATGAGAGAGAATAACAGGGCAGGAAAATACTTGGATGAATGATAGCCCAGAATTATAGAATTCAATGAAAGGAAAACATTTACATAGTCAAGATGTTTAGTGAAACCAAAAACAACTATAGGAGAACCATCTCTGGGTTCATATTAGTCAAACTTTTATCTTTATAAAGATAAAGAGGAAAATTGGAAGCATCAAGAAAATAGCACAACATAAGAAATCTAAAGAGAAAACAATTAGAATATTGAGCAACATAAGAAATCATGGGGAACCAAAGTGAAAGAAATTTCAGACTAAAGAAAAATAAGAGATTTATTCTGTATCAGACATATGCTACCAGAAATGATCTTCCATATGAAGGCAAATGATGCT